TCCTGGAATGCCCCACTTTTCCTTAGGATGTCCCTATTTTCATTGGAGAAATGTCAGAGGGTATGGAGTTATCTGACCGTAAGCCATCTGAAGGCAATCCTGTATAGGGAAGTTTTTAAAAAATGTTTAATATTTTATTATGTTTTATATGTGTTGGAAGCTGCCCATAGTGGCTGGGGCAACCTAGTAAAATGTGTGGAGTATAAAAAGTAAAATAATCATTATGGAATGGGACGTCCCTATTTTCATCGGAGAAATGTTGGAGGGTCTGTGCCTTTAACAACTGCATGGAAGCTGAAATTGATGTGATGAAATTGGGTAGGCTGGAGGAAAGTTATGCCAAAAATTCTTCTTGAAACATTTTGTCTGTCAGACATAGATAGAAGTTAAAAATGCAAGATCTCTGCTAGAAGAAAGTTGGCAAAACCAGACTAGATTATTCTGAATCAAGACACCAATTTATAATTTTAATTAAGATAATACAATGGCATTAGATAAAAATAAAACTCAATAATTTTATCTATTATCATTATCATTATTAAAATTTGTATACTACCTTTCATTCATAGGTCTCAGGGCGGTTCACGACATAAAACGTATATATTATTGTGAGAAACTAGAATTTAAACAACTCTTCACCAATCCGGAGCAATTCTGATGTTTTGCACTGTAACTCCCATAAGACACTGCCAGTGTCTAAAACATCAGGAGGGAACCAAGTTGTCAAAGACTGGTTTAAGTTCTGTTTTGTTTCTCAGCTGGTAGCTTTCTCCCTTAAACTTATTTTATTTCAGAGGGAGTCATCGTACCCTGTGTATTTAACTATTTATTAATTTATCTGCTTACATCAAGCCCCAAACCTCTCTAGAAGGAATTAATTCATTTTTTTCCAGCGAAGTTTGCAATGAAATATATTCCAAGAGTGGCTCCTCTGTACACTCCTCAAATTAGTTACTTAACTAAATTTGTTTTACATTATAAAATCACAGAACCGTAGAATTGGAAAGGACCTGAGGATAATCTAGTCCAACCCTCTGAAATGCAGGACTATAGGGATCAAACCTGCAACCTTGGTGTTATCAGCACCATGCTCTAACCAACTGAGCTATCCTTGTTGTTATGTTGCATATTTAACCCACAAAGTATGCATGTATAGTATACATAGATTATATGTCAGTTTCTTCAAGAAAATGGTTCTATTTTTTTATAGTGATTTTAAAATTACTCAAACCATAAAGCATGATTTGCCAATCTTAAATGACACTGGCAGGAAAATGCTTGTACCTAAATAAGTAAGCACTGCTGCTGATGTGAATTATAATCATTCTTATGCGGAGCACAGCCGAAAATTAGATTTAACATTAGAAACAGGACCCAAAAGATACAAAAAGAAGTTTTTTAAAAATCCAAACACACACTTTCAAGAGCATAGCTTGCCATTAACACCCAGACATTCCTTTTGCTGCACTTCCCTGTACCAGCACAGGACATGTGTCCTGCTGGAAACGTGCTGATGGCTTGCGGAGACCTTGCAATTCAAGTAATTAATCCTATTCCAATCTAGGTTAAGCAGGTGGAGAGCCTGCAGCGTTCAGAGAGAAAGTAGAAGCTCTTTAAAGTATTTAACTGGGCACAGCTTAGTCCAGAAAACTAGACTGGTCCATTCCGCTGACCTAGTCATGCAGGTAAAGACCTGTCTGTTCTCAAATCAGTGTAATCAAATATTTGTCCCTTCCTCTCCCCTCCCCTCGGCCTTCTGTAATACACAGCATCAACACCATGTGGTATTAAGACTAACCTCTTGTCCTCCACCCACTTCTGTTAGAGAGCAGGATGATTAGCTGTGACCTGGTTAGTTTTACAAGTAACTAGACAGAACTGCAGTTAACTTAAGGTGAGGGTGATACGTTTGTTTCAGCTTTCCACGCTGAACAGAGAAGTTTGATTCATTCTGTGGCACATAATGCTAATATTAAGACAACAGTTTTTCTCCTCTAAGCACTCAAAATGATCCTTCATTATCTCAGTAAACCTTACAATAACCCGTTGAAGTAGACCAGTGGTTATTTCCATAGTCATATAATGCTAATATTGGGGGAGAGAAAGCTTAGACTGAAAGATGGGGGCTTATCTAAGATTACCTTTGAATTAATGGTTTTTGCAATTTGAACCAGGGAGATTTGAACTCACAGCCACACTCTCCCCCCCGCCCCGTCACACTCTTAACCATCAGACAAACAGTAGTCTGATTTTAACCCCAGAGGCTCACGCCATCGTCTCTTGACATACAGGCATGCCAACAAAAGCAGCATCCAAAACACCTTTATAACACTGTTGTCGAGCCAGCCCCTGCCTAGCTTCTGCCCACAGTTCTGCTGTGGCGCCTCCTCTGGCAGTATATGTTTCTAGAATAGTGGTGCTCACATCCTCTGCTGCCATGCTAATGCAATGTCCTTGGTTGGCTTGTAATGCTGACACAACAGATAACGAAACTGCATTGGCAGAGTGGTTGCATTTAGTCGTTTGCTAAACACAGATTTTCTGGCAAAGGGGCTGAAAGGATTGGGCCTTTAATGTTCTGTTTGGAAAGAACTCCCCTCCTTGAGTTGAATTCACTTCAGGTAGGATTGAGCGTAATTCACCCTCCTTAAGTTTCCTTCACTTACACAGAATTGACCCTCTTTGATCTATTTAGTGTACAATGTAAGTTGTTTGGGAAATGAAGCCCCTGAAAGATTATTCCAGCAATTTAAATTGGTGTTTTATAGCACTCTCCTAATTAGAAGTCATTTAAGAGGGCTGAAAATTGCACTAAATTATGTGGGAAACAGCATGATTTTAAGGAAATAATATGTCTGTAAATGCCTGGGATGCCCTGCTACGTCTTGTGTGGCACTCCAGATGCTCTCCCATTTGCAAAATTCCACCACTGCTTGAGTCTTAGGTCAATTTTGAGGTCAGCCACCGCAGCAGCGGCCTATTAGATTTCTTACAAATGAAGAAAAAGAAGAGCATAGTAACATGAAAATAAGGAAATAGGATGCGCTTTATATTCTCTTTCTTTTGCTAATAAGGTTGCTTCTTGTGTTAAGAATGAGCTTGCCATGCAGCTCTGCTAACCTAGCCAAGTACAAGTAGTCCTGTAAACATTGGGATCTCATCCCTGACAGAGCAAGCTCAAACTGAACTGGTGTACTCAGAAATAGGTCTGATTTAAATCAGTGATACCCAATCCTGAGTAAAATCATTAAGGATGGCAGCATTATGGTGAGTGAGTCTCTTACAGATCACACCCTTAAGATGAGGCATGTAATTGGATTTGATTGGATTCTGTATTCAATTGGGCTTTGCATAGAAATGACACACATCTTCTATTATCATTTGCACTGCTTGGTCTCTTGGCTTCACTTGATAAAAATAAAAATGTGTATAGCTATGTACTTGGATGACTTTGTTAGAGGATTTGTCACTTAAATGGATGACTGGACACACACACACACACACACACACACACACACACACACACACTGGTTTGTGATCCAGGTATATAAAGGAAACTCCCATGGAGTTTGTCAATGACACCCTTCTCTGATGCTCTTGCCATCAGTTGTGAGGTGGGTAGTTCCTGTGTCCAGAAAATAGGTCAACTACCTGTTCTGGATGGGGTAACATTCCCTATGAAGAAGCAGGTACGAATTCAGGGTGTGTGTGTGCTCCTTAATCCATCACTGGGTGGAACAAGTGATTTCTGTTTCCAGGAGTGCTTTTTACCACCTCTGTCACCATTCCTGGACCAAGACAGCGTGACCACAGCAGGCCATGCAAGGATTGCTTATTGTAACACACTTTATGTGAGGCCACCTTTGTATCTGGTCTGGAAGCATCAACTAGTGTAGAATGCAGCAGCTTGACTGCTCACACGAGAGGGATTCCTAGCAACATGTTATCCCACTGCTGAAAAACCTATACTGGTTGCTGTTTGCAACAGGGCCAGGTTCAAGTTAATTGTGTTAATTCACAAACCCTAAACAATTTAGGCCCAAAGCAGTTCAAAATCTGATCCCTTATACTCTACCTAGGTCAGTTTGATCCTCTGATGAAACACTTCTGGTGGTTCCCCATGTCCCTGAGGTTTGACTGACCATTACTAGGAAATAAGCCTTTTGTGTGACAGGCCTTGCCCTGTGCAACGTCTATCTAGCAAATGTCTGGCAGGAACCATCCCTCCCTTCCTTCACATTTCTTCGGAAAACTTTTTTGTTTAGACAAGCCTCTACAACACGATTTTTTAAAATTACAATAAGTTTTTTTGGGGGGATGTTTTAAATGATAGTTTTATGGAAATCTTTGTTTAATCTTTTTCTTATGGTGTATACCGCCTTGTTACATTTGTATGGAAGTACAGATGATAAATTCATAAATAAAAATTAATCACTTGATGACAGGAACATCAAGCGATAACGGGTATGCCCAAATCTGCCATTTCAGCACCACACACAGTGCTTTCATATCACCACAAACCTGATTGTTCAAAGTCGCTTCATGTAGTAAAGCTGCGGGTGATAAATGTACAGTAGTCAAGTTTAGAGACATTGCATGCCTGAACCACCCTTATGTCATTTAACTTTGATGCCATCAAAACCATTAAGAGTGATTCAATTAAAATGCTAAATATTTAGGACTGGATACAGAGAAGAGTGAGCATAACTCCAACTGCACAACAGGGCTTCCCTGGATCCAGAGGGTTGGCGGATCATATGGAGTGGTATGGACTGGGGTTTCAGAGGCTGGAATAATTTGATGGGGCTATCTTACAAATGTAGAAGTGATTTTCCATTTGCACAACACATACCTGGAACAAAGATTTAAAATTAAACATAGGAGTATAAGAAGCTGCCTTATACTGAATCAGACCATTGGACAATCTAGCTTAGTAGTATCTACATTGACTGACATCAGTTCTCTAGGATTTAAGGCAGGGAGTCTCTCCCAGCCTTACCTGGAGACGCCAGGGATTAAACCGGGGACTTTCTGCATGCAAGGCAGATGCTCTGTCACTGAGCCATACCCTTCCCCGTAGCCAGTGTCTAGCCTTAAAGTTTTATTTAATGTAAGGCAGGGGTCAGCAAACTTTTTCAGCAGGCAGCTGGTCCACTGTCCCTCAGACCTTGTGGCAGGCCAGCCTATATTTCGAAAAAAATATATATGAACGAATTCCTATGCCCCACAAATAACCCAGAGATGCATTTTAAATATAAGGACACATTCTACTCTTGTAAAAATACGCTGATTCCTGGAACATCCGAGGGCCAGATTTAGAAGGCAATTGCGCCAGATCTGGCCCCCGGGCCTTAGTTTGCCTATCCATGATGTAAGGTCCAGTCTAAAGAAAAAATGGAGCTTAGTATAGTTACCTGTTCCAACTTGGTCCTATATTACTTACAATTACTACATTACATCATATCTACAATTCTTGGGCATATCTATAAAATGTAATTATTCCAAAAATTATACCCAGATGCTTTCACCACTGGCAATCCGAGCTAGATGAATGACGGCTTTGTATGCAAAATGTGCCAATCCAAAATACATCTAGTATCAGCAAACAACTTTTTCCTGTTTAAATGTTTATGTTTTTAAGTTAGTCAATGATATTCTGCTCCCCCCCAAAAAAGAAACCTGTCTCTTCTATGCTTCAAGTACCCAGCTGCCACACAATTTATATCTCTTTCCTTTCCTCTTTGTTTTTCAGCCATTTTCCCTGAATGTCAAAGTCAATTTAGTGCATTTCACTTTGCTGAATAAATCAGAGGCGAAATCCTTGCTAAAAGTGAAAATTTGATTTGCTAAAAGGAGCTTAGGGCAACTATTAATCAATATATCCAGAGTGTCAAAGCTAAGGCCATGATAGGCATGCATTCATTTGGAGATTGGTTGAGGCAGATAAAGGAGGGGGATGTAGTGCAATCACCAGTTTGTGTGTACGAGAGAGAGCATGGACTCACAGATGTGGGTGATTTGGGGAAAAGATAAGAGAAAGTGTTGACTTCAAAGGAGGGGAAAAACACCACCACCACCACAACAGTACATATAAGAAACTCTGGAGTCAAACAAGTCTTTTACAAAGAACATGAAAGTCTCATTCTAACTATTGAACATTACTGAAAGATTTGAATATTTTAACTTACAAATCCATCAATAACATTATTTTACACAATCAGATTTCTCATTGGCTGCGAGTCCTGGAAGACCTGCTCCTTGCCTTGAAGTCCATTTTTACCTGGCCTGGGAGGGCAGGGCCCTGACTGACTCCAGCTACAAAAGCTGAGGCTGGGTTGGGGTACTGTTTGGGTATTGGTGGGGTTATTATTGCCCTATTTTTAAAAAATGTTCAAAATTGTTTTTAACTGCTTTTAAACTTGTAAGTTTCTAAATTTGGGGGTTTTGTTGTTTGTCCTTTAAATCAAAGGATGTTAAATGTGCCTAGGAAGAGAGAATTGCAGGTTCTGAGCAAGGGGAAGTATGGGGTGGGGCAGGCTGGGTACAGGGCACAGGCAGTTAGTGACTGTGCCATGTACCAACCCCTCCTCCAATTTGGGGAACTGTGGTTGTCCTATCAGCCAGTCCCCAGGTCTGTGGATGCTATTGCTGAATTCCAGGTCAGCTCTGAGTAAGACCTTCATCATACATGATCTGATTATGGATGAGAAGAGCAATCTGGTCTGTATCACTGAGAACTGGGTGGGTGAGCAGGGTGGAGTTGGTCTCACCCAGCTGTGCCCATTTGGGTACACGGTTCAGCATCAGGGCAGACTTTGAAGGTTGAAGAGGGGGGATTGCTGTTGTCTATAGAAATTTTCTCTCTCTCCAGGCTTGCTGTCCAGTTGTGGGGAATCTAGAGTGTGTTTTCCTAGCATTGGGCAATCAGAACAGATTAGGGATTCTGCTGGTTTACTGCTGGCCTCAATACCCAGAAGTCCCCCTCTCTAAGCTGACAGAGATAGTCTCAAAGCTGGTTTTGAGGACTCCCAGACTGATGATTCTGGGGGACTTCAACATCCATACTAATGAGTGTGGGGATCGGGAATGTAATCCCCATGCAAATCATTGCCTATACTTTGTTGCCTCCAGCAGAGCTTTTCCAGGTGGTGAGGAGCCTCTTGTACAGTTTGGCCTGAAGGAGGTGGTGGAACCAAAGTTAGCTTGCTTTGACTTGTTTGTAACACAATTTTGAGGGTAAATGTTTGCATTCACTAGGATATTGACTCCACAATTAGAGCAGATGAAGCTCAAGGGGTGTCCAGAGCACTGTCTAGTCCTGTTGTGTTGGATGGGTTTCAGTTAGGAATGCTTGAGGATGTGGGAAAGGTGTTTGGATTGGTTAGGGTGGGTGACCACTTGTGCTGTGGACCCTTGCCCCTCTTGGCTGATAAAAACTAACAGGGAGAGGATACCTGGTTGAACCAGGGAGTTGATTAATGCCTCCCTGCATGAGGGGGTGGTCCTCGTTTGCTTGGAAAAAACCACCCTCCCTGGATTCAGAAAATCTAACTAACTACCAGCCAGTTGCCAATCTCCGCTTCTTGGACAAGGTTCTTGAGCAGGTGGTTGAGGACAAAATCCAGGTGCTCTTGGAGGAAACAGTTTTTCTAGATCTATTTCAATCAGGGTTTAAGCCCGGTTTTGGCACAGAAACTGCTTTGGTCACCCTATATGATGATTCTGTCTCCTGTTAATTCTCCCTGACCACGGTATCATTCTGGAGTGGCTGTCCTAGTCAGGAGTGGGTGGCACCACTTTGTGGTGGCTCTGGTCCTCCTTGGATGGTCATTTCCAGAGGGTGATGGTGTAGGGAGTCTTCTTTGGCCTCTGGAGCCTTCAACTGGGAGGTTCGATTTTATCCCCTATGCTGTTTAACAGCTATGTGGAGCCATCCAGAATTTTGAAATACATTATCATCAATATGCTGATGACACACTGCTCTAATTCTCCTCTATATCTGTAGATGTGGCAGTGAATGTGCTGTACAATTGTTTTGCTTCAGTAATGGGTGAAAGCCAACAAACTGAAGCTCAATCCAGATAAGACTGAGGCACTGTTAGTGAGTCGTACCCTAGACAGGGTGGATGGAAGGCTACTTGCTCTTGATGGGGTTGCACTCCCTCTGAAGGAGCAGGCATGTAGCTTGGGTGTACTTCAGGATCACTTACTGTGCCTTCCATCAGCTTGGGCTGGTGGCTCAGCTGCACCCTTAGCTGGACAGGGGTAGCCTAACTTCTGTCATCAATGCTCAGGTAACCTCTAGTTTAGATTACTACAACGTGTTATACATAGGAATGCGTCTTAAGAAATTTCAGCGGGTGCAGAATTCAGTGGCCAGGTGTTCACCAAAGGAAGACGGTTTGAGGACATTACTTCAATCCTGGCCCGACTGCACTGGCTGCCAATTAGTTTCCAGGCCCAAATCAAAGTGCTGGTTTTGACCTATAAAGCCTTAAATGGCTCAGAACTGCAACAGCTCAAGGACCACCTCTCCCGATATGAACTGATATAGACCCTGCAAACATCATCTGAGGCCTTTCTTTGTGTGCCTCCTCCACAAGAGGTCTGGTTGCCAAACGAGAACAGGCCTTTTCTGTGGTGACTCTCGATTTGTGGAATGTACTCTCCAGAGAGGCTCACCTGACACCTTCATTATATATCTTTAAGCGCCAGGTGAAAACATTTCCCTATAACCAGGTCTTGGTTGATTAACATTCTATGGCCTTTTGAATGTTTGTGGGAGTAGGGGTAATTGGTTTATTTTTATTTTTATAAATACAGCTTATTGGCCCTCATCTAATCCACCACTGTGTTCACATCAGCAAACGGATGAAAACTTCCTCTCAATGTTCTAATGACCACTCCCAACTACAATCTTATTTTCTCCCCGATGCTTTTTCCAGGTGACCCTCTATAACTTCTCTTTTGTTGGGGTCACATGCATACAAATACGTTCTTTCAAGAAAGCTTACCTGCTTCCTTGCAGGTACACAAATGAAACTCACTGTACCTAGTATGTCAGATTTTAAGATATGCTATGCAAATTTCTGGAGGGATATCTCTGTTTTCTGTCTTTTGCAGAAAATTCAAAGAATTGCAAAGAATAAAATCATTTTGTGGCACATTAAGGGTTTTTTAAAAACAAAAAACCCTATAATCCACATCTTTAAAATGCCACAATCCTTTGTACAACTTATTTTTCAACTTTATGTCTCAAAAGTGGTTGCTGTCTTTCAATTAATTATAAGTCTCTCTCTATATATTTAGTACCTCTTTGGGCAACCTAAATGTACCAGCAGGCAATGCTAGACAAGTAATAATTGCATAATAGGTAAATCTGAAAGCACTTGATGGCAATTGGTTTTATTTTACAACATAAAAAGGTGGTTTTTTTGGAAGAATAATCCAGATTCAATGTTTTTGTACAAATTAAAATTAGTTTTAAGTGTAAAACATTGCAAGGACTTTGGTCTAACTTGATGAGTTTTGTGTCTGCAAAACGACAAAGAACATTTTGTCTCTTAAGCTTCCTGTTATGCACATTTAAAGAGCTTAATGTTTCCTGCTTCCACTTAGTAAAAGGAGAGCATTGCGCATTTTTGCAGAATGCCAATGAGACAGTTGCATTACAGAAACAATGCCTAAGTGACTTTGAAAATGTGGTCAGACATCAGCAGAATCTCATCTCATGGGGAAAAAATGGGCTTTATACTTTTAAGATGTCCGAAAGCAAAACTTACCATGTTCAAAATGCAACACACAATAAAACTAACATACGCTTTCAGTATTTAAGTTAGGTTCTGTACATCTTACTCACAGATTTATCTACTACTATGGTACCTCGGGTTACGTACGCTTCAGGTTACAGACTCTGCTAACCCAGAAATAGTACCTCGGGTTAAGAACTTTGCTTCAGGATGAGAACAGAAATCGTGCTCCGGTGGCGCAGTGGCAGCTAAAGTGGTGCTTCAGGTTAAGAACAGTTTCAGGTTAAGAACGGACCTCCGGAACAAATTAAGTACTTAACCCGAG